TACAATGTCATAATAACACATTTCATTTGATTTGGATGAGGATTAAACAACCCCCCAAAAAACAACAAAGTTTTTCGTATTAATCCTTTATATGCATTTTTAAATTACTTTATTTTATAGTAATATTCTAATGGCGCACTCGTTTTTACACCGCAGACTTATTTCACCATTGCAGAAAAAAAAAGAAAATATGACGCACCAAAAGTACTTAATATTGATTTTTTTTAAATTTTTGTTTAAATATCATTTAGCGCAGTTCCCGGGTAATCGGGAATTTTATTTCGTGCAATCAGTGCCATCACATTCCCTTCATTTTTCCCTTTATAAAAAGGAAAAACTTATTTTAATTTATTTTTATTTTTTATTTTTTTATTTTTTTATTTTGTCTGGGGGTGGCACCTCGACAGGTTAACGGAAAGTGGGTCACTCAGCCGTCCAAATATTTTTGTCAGCCTGAAACACAGCGACGGACGCGAATGTAATGTAAAGGATTTAAGAATCTTCATCGTAGTCTTTTAACAACAGTCACCGCCACCCACTAAATAAATTTAACGTACTATGTGACACAACTAACACCTACCTTTTAGGAAAATCCCAATTGTGCATCTTTTCGCACTAGACGCTACTATCACTTTTGTAAAAAAAAAATTGTGTCTACTTTTTTAAATTTCTGATTGAGAAAGGTTTATCAGGATGGGGTGAGTATTTTGCAGCCCCTAAAAGGAAAAACGGAGCCAGATATATACTTTGGCCAAGCTGGACAATGTTCCCAGTTCCCCCACAGGCTAAAGGGCTATGGCCAAGTGCTGACTAGCTTCTAAAGGGGGCGTCTGAGAATCGCCTGCTTTCCATAGAATTTTTTTTTCTTTTGATTTATCACTACCCCTTATCAGCACTGTCAATTTTATCAACTGAAGTGGCCAAGACGGCTGCATCAATAGATTGGATTAAAGGCTATCTAAAGTATAATTGTACAATACGACTTTTTTTTTCTTGTTATTTATAATATACATATCTCGGCTTCTAAAATGTTCAATCACATATCCTTGTAATTGAAGCATGATACGAAATAACAAAATCGGTTCTTTCGGTCAAATCGAATTGTGGACTTTCAAGGTTGAACAAAGTTTTTGTGGTACACTTTTTAAGTTGAATAGTAAATGTACACAGTTTGGTGGTACACTTTTAAAGTTGAATGTTAAATGTACAAAGTTTGGTGGTACACTTTTAAAGTTGAATGTTAAATGTACAAAGTTTGGTGGTACACTTTTAAAGTTGAAAAGTAAATGTACACAGTTTGGTGGTACACTTTTAAACTTGAAAAGTAAATGTACACAGTTTGGTGGTACACTTTTAAAGTTGAAAAGTAAATGTACACAGTTTGGTGGTACACTTTTAAAGTTGAAAAGTAAATGTACACAGTTTGGTGGTACACTTTTAAAGTTGAATGTTAAATGTACCAAGTTTGGTGGTACACTTTAAAAGTTGAATGTTAAATGTACAAAGTTTGGTGGTACACTTTTAAAGTTGAATGTTAAATGTACAAAGTTTGGTGGTACACTTTTAAAGTTGAATGTTAAATGTACAAAGTTTGGTGGTACACTTTTAAAGTTGAATGTTAAATGTACAAAGTTTGGTGGTACACTTTTTAAGTTGAATAGTAAATGTACACAGTTTGGTGGTACACTTTTAAAGTTGAATGTTAAATGTACAAAGTTTGGTTGTACACTTTTAAAGTTGAATAGTAAATGTACAAAGTTTGGTGGTGCACTTTTAAAGTTGAAAAGTAAATGTACATAGTTTGGTGGTACACTTTTAAACTTGAAAAGTAAATGTACACAGTTTGGTGGTACACTTTTAAAGTTGAAAAGTAAATGTACACAGTTTGGTGGTACACTTTTAAAGTTGAAAAGTAAATGTATACAGTTTGGTGGTACACTTTTAAACTTGAAAAGTAAATGTACACAGTTTGGTGGTACACTTTTAAAGTTGAAAAGTAAATGTACACAGTTTGGTGGTACACTTTTAAAGTTGAAAAGTAAATGTACACAGTTTGGTGGTACACTTTTAAAGTTGAAAAGTAAATGTACACAGTTTGGTGGTACACTTTTAAAGTTGAAAAGTAAATGTACACAGTTTGGTGGTACACTTTTAAAGTTGAAAAGTAAATGTACACAGTTTGGTGGTACACTTTTAAAGTTGAAAAGTAAATGTACACAGTTTGGTGGTACACTTTTAAAGTTGAAAAGTAAATGTACACAGTTTGGTGGTACACTTTTAAAGTTGAAAAGTAAATGTACACAGTTTGGTGGTACACTTTTAAAGTTGAAAAGTAAATGTACACAGTTTGGTGGTACACTTTTAAAGTTGAAAAGTAAATGTACACAGTTTGGTGGTACACTTTTAAAGTTGAAAAGTAAATGTACACAGTTTGGTGGTACACTTTTAAAGTTGAAAAGTAAATGTACACAGTTTGGTGGTACACTTTTAAAGTTGAAAAGTAAATGTACACAGTTTGGTGGTACACTTTTAAAGTTGAAAAGTAAATGTACACAGTTTGGTGGTACACTTTTAAAGTTGAATGTTAAATGTACAAAGTTTGGTGGTACACTTTTAAAGTTGAATGTTAAATGTACAAAGTTTGGTGGTACACTTTTAAAGTTGAATGTTAAATGTACAAAGTTTGGTGGTACACTTTTTAAGTTGAATAGTAAATGTACACAGTTTGGTGGTACACTTTTAAAGTTGAATGTTAAATGTACAAAGTTTGGTTGTACACTTTTAAAGTTGAATAGTAAATGTACAAAGTTTGGTGGTGCACTTTTAAAGTTGAAAAGTAAATGTACATAGTTTGGTGGTACACTTTTAAACTTGAAAAGTAAATGTACACAGTTTGGTGGTACACTTTTAAAGTTGAAAAGTAAATGTACACAGTTTGGTGGTACACTTTTAAAGTTGAAAAGTAAATGTATACAGTTTGGTGGTACACTTTTAAAGTTGAATGTTAAATGTACAAAGTTTGGTGGTACACTTTTAAAGTTGAATGTTAAATGTACAAAGTTTGGTGGTACACTTTTAAAGTTGAATGTTAAATGTACAAAGTTTGGTAGTACACTTTTAAAGTTGAATAGTAAATGTACAAAGTTTGGTTGTACACTTTTAAAGTTGAATGTTAAATGTACACAGTTTGGTGGTACACTTTTAAAGTTGAATAGTTAATGTACAAAGTTTGGTTGTACACTTTTAAAGTTGAATGTTAAATGTACACAGTTTGGTGGTACACTTTTAAAGTTGAATAGTTAATGTACAAAGTTTGGTTGTACACTTTTAAAGTTGAAAAGTAAATGTACAAAGTTTGGTGGTACACTTTTAAAGTTGAAAAGTAAATGTACACAGTTTGGTGGTACACTTTTAAAGTTGAATAGTAAATGTACAAAGTTTGGTGGTACACTTTTAAAGTTGAATGTTAAATGTACACAGTTTGGTGGTACACTTTCAAAGTTGAATAGTTAATGTACAAAGTTTGGTTGTACACTTTTAAAGTTGAAAACTAAATGTACAAAGTTTGGTGGTACACTTTTAAAGTTGAATGGTGCATTTCTAAAAAAGATGAAACTATTTTTAGTATTTCAGTTTCTTGCCAAGTTGAATCTCACAACACGTCGGGAACGAAGGCTCGCTCTGCGGTTGGCCGCTGACCCAGTTTGGTGATCCGCCTCTTCTGGTCTCAGTGAAGGTCATTCTATCAAGCGTCTTAGAGCTGTAAGTTGTCTCTAAAGATCTGTCAAGCTCTTGGGATAAAACATGTATAAATATTAGACCCCCGTCTTTGCCACGTTTGGGACCCTAAAGTTCTTAGAGCTGTAAGTTGTCTTTAAAGATCTGTCAAGCTCTTGGGATAAAACATGTATAAATAGTATGCCCCGTCTTTGCCGTGTTCGGGACCCACAAAGACCTAATCATAGCCTGAAGATAACGCGGATAAGTTGTTTACAGCGAATTAAACTTTTAATGTATGAAACGAAACAAATGTATCAAGTATCTTTTTTTTCCCCCGTAACGATTTTATTTCAAATATTTTAATGGAATTTTAAAATATATCGTGTAATGAATTCAGTGTACGACCCGAACAGGTATTTCAATCTAGTGAATAGGGGATGTTCTTCCAGTCGTCTGTTCAGAAAAAATACGTATATAAATTTTGAATAGAGCAGCTTGCAATCTCAATCAAGAAAAAAAAATAACAGCTCTATTTGGCCAGGTTTGGTGCGTAGTGTGTGCAAAGTCTGAAGTAGAGGCAATCAGAACAAATGATGCATAAATAAGAAAATCAATACTCAACAAAATTAATTGTAACAACACAACCCGCCTATAAGTGCGGAATCTCAACTTACGCCTATTGCCTCAAGCCTTCCAACCCCCATTGCACGATTCCTTCACAAATTAGCACTTGTAATCATTGAAATATCCTCATCAGCACCAGGCACAGAAACATTGCAAATCCCCTCTACATGCATAGGAGCCAAAATGATCAATAAATTGACCATGGGCCCTTACTATATAGAAGAAGAACTATATACAAAATTATAAAGACTAAGCCAATTCACATTTTTAAAATGAGGAAAGTCACCAATTGTTATAGCTTTGATGATATCACAAATATTCAGGCTAAAAAATGTTCTTGTTTCCCTTTTGCATTCACAGACACTAAGAATGAACAGTCTCCTTTTGTCTGATGAAATCACGCAACACTTGCAATTTTAAGCCAGAAAATAGAGTTTGAGGGTGAAACAAGTTTTAAAAAGGCATTTGAAGACATTGATGTACCTTGGCGTCCATTTTATATCGCAAAGAACATCAACACAAGCCTACGCATGAGCACTAGGTTGATATCCTCTAAGCCAATCAGAAGTCAACTATCAAGGTCATGGCTGCTCGCCTTTCGAGCCCACGCTAACGTCACACGGAACTAAACAGGATGCAGCGGTTTTGAACGTGCCTATGGGTTATCTTTGATCAGAACAAAGCCTTCCACACGAATGTTCTTACCAATGTTTAAGTCCTCCTCGATGTATAATACTACAGCTCCGACTTACCCCCAAAATCAACAGTATCTCTACCCGGCGCCAAATCAACAATATGTCCAGGCGGCGCCTTTTCCACAATACGGCCGGGCGGCGCCTAATCAACAATTCGTGTCCCCGGGGACTGCAGGTCCCCAGTACACAGCATACGTCCCGCAACAAGGCTACTCCACTCAGTACACAGGGTACCCAACCTCGAATCCCATGCCGCTCCCCGGCCAACCACAGGTGGTTTACGCGCAGTCGCAACCACAGCGCGGCGCCCGGGACTACGGCAATTTACAAAACATGGGCCTGGGGGCCGCGATAGCAGCCGCCATCTGCTGCTGCCTCAACAGCGGCGGTTCTGATCGTTCCTATAGCGACCACAACATGAACCCATTCGACATGGGCGGAATGTCACATAGTGACTGCTCGATGGATTATCTGTGATGAAGCTACATCTTGATGTTGTCTTTTCCTTAAGCCCGCATCACGCTTAATGAACAGTTGTACTTAAAATATGGGACTTTTTTTAAAATCAGTTTTTGTTTAAAACTCTTGGTAAATAAATTAAAGATTGCAAAAAACCCAGCAAAATTGTAGATTTTTTCATATTTTCACGAAAATAAATTAAAGCCAAAATCTACCTCCCCCCTCCACATTTCAAAAACATGATTTTAAAGATATTCAAGATTAATGAAGCATTGATAAAAAAACACCTAACTTAATTTGCCTGGGTAATATGTCTATCTATCTATGTATCTATGTATCTATCTATCTATCTATCTATCTATCTATCTATCTATCTATCTATCTATCTATCTATCTATCTATCTATCTATCTATCTATCTATCTATCTATCTATCTATCTATCTATCTATCTAT